CTCACCGAATGTGAGCATACCCACTAAACCACCACTGTTCCCCTCTTTTCACTTTCCACCGGGAGCGTGGGTACACTGAAAAGTATTCTTCACACGCCCCGGTCGTGATTGCCTTATCGGCTCCTCGACGGCTTAAGCCTCATCTGTGTGTGCGCGGGAAACGAACGCGTCCTCTTCGACTCTCTTCTGAGTGGCGGGCTTCCCCCTGCCCACCACTCGAGTCCTGTCACGGTGGAATCGTCCGGGCATACGCCCGTCTTCTCCCCCCGGTGCGGCGGCTGCGGATGACGTCTTGACTGGTCGCCTCCCTTGCCCTCTCCGCTTCTTCCTTGTTAGTCATTACGGCCTCACAGAATAGTTGGACGGCCCTCCACGCTTCATCCGATCCGACCATTGCTCTTACTGTGGCCGGCAGGGAAAGATCGTCACCCACTGCGGCCACAAGGTCCCTTCGATGTTCCCTCCACGCCGGGCACTCCGCCAGCGTGTGCTGGGCAGTGTCCTCGGGGCAATCGTCGCAGTGGTGGCACACTGCAGACGGCTCCCTCCCAATCCGGCGCAGATAACTGCCGAAACAACCATGTCCCGACAGCACCTGCGCCAAACGGAAGGTCACCGTCCCGTGTCTCCTCCTCAGCCACGCCATGAACACTGGACAGATTGCCCCGATTGTCCTGGCGCCAGCCCGCGTCTGGCGGAGGCGGCGTTGCCATTTGGCCACCGCTGCATCTCGCCTCTCTTTCCTATACGCTTCGACCTCGACCCTTAGGGGTGGAGCTCCGTCAGTTATGATTTTGTGTTCACGCCATGAATGAATTGCCGCAAGCACCTCCGCTTCTAACACCCATGGCAGGGACCCCGCCAGGGTGCAAGCCGCGTCGAAGGATACTGTGCGGTAACCTCGTATGATTCTAATAGCCATGCTCCTCTGTGGCCGGTGTAGAATGTCGATCGTCCGGTTGTTCAGGGCGCCGCTCCATACGGGTGCGCCGTATAGCGCCATCGATTTAACGACGCCCGTGAACAACCGTCGACAGGCCGCTTTAGGGCCGCCAACATTGGGCAGTAGACTGCCGAGTGCGGCGGCCGTGCGCAACAGCTTGGGCCCCAGCTGGCGGAAGTGGCCCTCAAAGGTCCACCTACCGTCCAGCGTGAGGCCCAAGTACTTCATGTGCGTCTCGATACCGATGTTAACTCCGCCAACAATGATGTGGGCTCCCGGGGGAGGCCTGCTCCGAGGTCCATGGAAATAGAGGGCCTCGGATTTATGCAGGGCCACCTCGAGACCCAGTGCTCTAATTCTTCCCACCACTTGGGCTACTCCGGCCGTAGCGAGAATCGCACACTCCCGGTACGTACTCCCCCTCGCCGTTACTAGAGTGTCATCTGCGTAACACGTTACGTCCACACCTAGTATGTTGGCGCCCCGCAGCACCCAGTCGTAGCCCACGTTCCATAGAAGTGGGCCGAGGACTGAGCCCTGCGGAACGCCACAGGTCATCTCGTGGCGACACCATTCGTCTCGGCTTCTGTACGAGACCGATCTATCGGACAGATAGTCGGCAACTATTCGGCGTAGGTATTCAGGCACTTTATGGTAGCGGAGGGCCTCGATGATGCAGCTCCAGGGCAAGGTGTTAAAAGCGTTTGCGATGTCCAAGGACACCGCAAGAACGACATCGCCCTGGGCAACTGCTTCCTCCGCTATCTTTTTGACCCGCATTATGGCATTAACTGTGGACCTGCCCGGCCTGAAGCCAAATTGCTTGGCATCTAGGTCCGGGCCGATCGTCGCCATGTGTTGGACAAGTCTATTAGCGATGATCCGCTCAAATAGCTTTGCTACCTCATCTAACAGAATTATAGGCCGGTATGCAGCAGGGGAGTCGGCTGGCCTGCCCTCTTTTTTAAGGAGGACCAGGGTGCCGTTCTTCCACAACCGCGGGAAACGTCCTTGTGCAAGACAGTCACTTAACAGCTCTACAACTCTCTCCTCATAAATGTCCGCGGCTAGCACCCAAGCACGGCCCGGTATGCCATCAGGCCCCGGGGCCGTCCTTTTGGCACGTAGCCGGTGAATTCCGGCCCCAAACTCGCCAGGGGTGACTGGCGGAATGACCTCCTCCCCAACGGAGCCAGGATTTTCATTCCTGATGTTCGGAATCCTGTACGGCGGTATGTGTGCCACTCCGCTGGGAAAGAGGGATGTCACCACTTCCTGCACCAGTTGGGGCCGGAGACTTTGCGTCAGAGGTGATGTCCGCGTCCGGAGTTTCCCTCGGACCATGAGGTAGGGGCGACCCCAAGGATCTAAGTTTAGGGTCTCCACCATTTCCTCCCGCGCCCTATCTTTGGCATCTCGTATCGCTCGACTGAGCTCGTGTCTTGCAGTCTTGTACGCGTTCAGCAGACTTGCCTCGGCGATTGCGTTCCTTTGTCGTTTCCGGCGTTGTCGTTGGTACTGGCGTCTGGCAGATACGCACGCAACGCGTAATGCTGCTATATCTGCAGACCACCAGTACACATGCCTCTTCGTTGGTGGGGGGCCTTGCCGCGGCATCGAGACATCGCATACGCGAGTCATCGACGCACGCAACTCGGCAGCCCTTTCGTCGATGTCGGGTGAGCTAACCGCAGGCGACCATGTTTCAACCTGGGCAGCTTCTGTGTGTAAGTCCGGGTTGAGCCGCTTCACCACCCACCGTGGGGTGTCCCGGTGAAGCGACTCCGGTCCCTGATGAGCTGGGACCGTTGATGTCGTCGATATTGCGAAACGGATGTATCGGTGGTCGGATAGTGTCTCCACACCTTCCACTACCTCCCAACCGTACACCCGTCTCGCAGTCGCAGGGCAGGCGAACGATATGTCCACAATGGAACAGCCCTGCGGCCGAACGCAGGTGGGTCTCACTCCCCTATTTAGTAGACAGAGTCCCATGGTTAACGCCCACTCCTCTAGCACTGCACCCCGAGCGTTCGTAGTTGTTTCTCCCCACGCAGAGTTTTTGGCGTTAAAATCCCCCATTACCAGCACAGGATGGGGGTAGTTTCTGCCAACGAGGATTCCGACTCGGTCGAGAAGACCCTCGAACTCTGCGAGGGTCTTGCTGGGGGCGCAGTACACTCCGATAACCATGGTTCCTCCTACAGTGGCTCCAACGTACCAGCGGCCCTTTTGGACCCCTTCGATGGATGGAGATCCCGTGGACCGGGGCACGATGAGCGCTACAAGATTTTCCTCATCCCCCACCCAATCGTCCCTGTTGGGGACGAAGTAGGGTTCGGACACCACAGCTACCTGCGTCGACCACTCAGCCATGCTCTGAAGGAGCAGGTCTTGAGCCCGAGCGCAGTGATTAACATTGGCTTGAAGTAGACGTAGAGCCATTTCTGATGTTATTGATGTTAACCTCATCCGTCTCCATTGAAACTTCTGCTGGCGCCTGTTGTGCTGGTTGTGGCGCAGCTGTTCTCTTCCCTCTGGCGATCTTGGGGGCTGGAGCTAAACATCCTCTACCACCCAGCTTGTGATCCGCCGGTTTTTGGGCCGCCGCGCAGATGGTGCAATGCGGTTTGGCCGAGCAGCCTTTGAACTTGTGGCCCTCTACCCCACAGCGGAAGCACAATTTGCTCCTGTCCACCTCAGCGTTGCATTGCGCTCTAACGTGCCCCTTTTGGAGGCATCGATAGCAGCGCAATGGTCGGGGCTCCATCAGCATGACGCTGGTCGACACCCACGATATTGTCAGCCGTTGCGCTGCAGCCACTCGTCTTGCAACTGGTACTGTGCATTCTACCCATGCATGTCCAACACCAAATCTGTCCCTAACAACACCACTGCTCTTGAGGCTGTCTTTTGAGCAGCCTCCTGCTTCAGCGACCGCAGCCAGTACTTCATCGATGGTTGATGAGTCGTCCAATCCAGAAATTTTAATCTCCGTCGTTTTCGTCGGCCTGGAGATGCGGACCAAGTCTCCGCTGAAAACTTGCATCAGCCTCTCTGCTAA